TAAGGCATTGTATGCTTTGTGGATGTCAACCAGGTGCTCGTTTTCTTGCTCCTTCTTTGGGTAGTCTTATGGGATGGAGGTTGAAGTAAAGGGCTCCCCCCTTCCCATCCTTCGGGCCCTCCTTTCTTACCTCCCCTCTAGAACCACACCACCTCACATATAACCATCTGTCACACACACAGACAGTGTGTGTGTGTGTGTGTGTGTGTGTGTGTGTGTGTGTGTGTGTGTGTGTGTGTGTGTGTGTGTGTCCTTGTGCTCACTGTTCCTCTGTCGCTGCAAACACGTGTGGTGGCTGCCGTGTGTCATCCGTTCATGATGTGTATTGTAACGCAATCAAATCAAGCCATGAAGCGAGCGAGCGAGCGAGCGAGCGTGAGTGGGTGAGTGAGTGAGTGAGTGAGTGAGGGAATGTGTGTTGTTGTTGTTGTTGTTGTTGTTGTTGTTGTTGTTGTTGTTGTTGTTGTTGTTGTTGTTGTTGTTGTTGTTGTTGTTGTTGTGGTCGTGGTGTGAGCGAACGCTGCGGTGTGAACGAAAGCAACGCAGAATGTGCGTGTGTGTGTGTGTGTGTGCGTGCGTGACAGCTCAGTCCTTCTTGGTGCGGCCAATAAAGTCGTCCATGGAATCACTGCGGCGTCAACGCAAACCAGTGCGCGCGTGCATGTGAATGAGGGAATGCGTGTGCATCGTATGTACAAGCATACACACGCGTGTGTTTTGGGTATGTCATGGATGAGTAGCAAGCACCACAGTCACAACCACAAAGACCACCACCACGACCCCCTTGTACACGGGGACAGCCACTCCCTTGACAACACCACCACGCCATGCACCAACTTTGCGCCAAAGAGGTCGACAATGGCATCCGAGATGCTTGGGGGCAGAATGCCCTGCAGGAACTGTCCAAAGTACAGGAACCGCGGGATGGCAACCGTCGCCTGTGCCACGTGCACACACACACACACACATGGTGATATGTATTGTGTTGCGAGATATGTGTTGTGGTGTGAGGGCGTGTGGGAAAGAGGGCGTTTGCACACTTCACGAGCGGCCGGCAGACACACAACACACGCAACACACCACACCACCAACACAACACACAGCACAGTGCATACACACGCAACACATATGAACCCCCTCCAACCGCCACGTTCACCACCACAGCGTGGCGGCACCTGGTTCATGCGAATTGCGCGAATGGTGCGATCGACAACGAGCTCCGGTTTCAGAATGGGCAGCAGCCACGGCACCCTGATGATGGTGATGGTGATGGTGGCGGTGGTGGTGGTGAGTAGTGAGTAGTGACAGGTGTGTGAGTTGTGTGTGGGGTGGTTGTGTGCAGTTGCGTCTGCTTCGTTGTTGTGAGAAACAAGCTCCACCCACTGTCACCACCACTACCAACACCACCAAGGCCACCATCACCATCACCATCATTAATCATCAACCACCAATCACGCATCAACCAACTTTGTCTTTGCTCCCTCGAACATGCCCGTGTCGATGAAGAACGGACACACGCACGTCGTGTGCACACCGGTCTTGCCCATCTTGCGAAGCTCAAACCTGATGGGGAGGGGTGTGAATGCGAGGAGGGCAAAAGATGAACGGGCGGGTGGAGAGGCAGGCACGCAGACACAAGAACTGTAAGTCAAGCACAGGTACCCTCAACACCAAGCTGCTGCAGCAAACAGACAGACAGACAGACAGACAGACAGACAGACAGACAGACAGACAGACAGACAGACAGACAGACAGACAGACAGACACACGACGCACGTGCACACCTGATGCTCTCGTCAAAGCCGACTGCACCGAATTTGGATGCGCAGTAGTCAGCGAGCGACGCAACGCCAACCTGTCACAAGTGGCAGCACGTGTCGCAGTCGTGGTGGTGGTGGTGGTGGTGGTGGTGATGGTGGTGGTGATGGTGGTGGTGGTGATGGTGGTGGTGATGGTGGTGGTGGTGGTGTGTGCATGCGTCGTGTGCGGTGTGTGTGTGTGTGTGTGTGTGTGCACGAGAGTCAAACAGGATGCTTCACACAAACATTACGGTCGTCATCCCACGAACTCAAACAACAACAGCAGCCACCAACAACTTAAACAACAAAAACAACAACAACAACAACAACTTAAACAACAACAACAGACAACAACAACAACAACAACTTAAACAACAACAACAACTTAAACAACAACAACAACAACAACAACAACAACAACAACAACTTAAACAACAACAACAACAACAACAACAACAGCAGCAGCACCTTGCCGGCGGAACTGGCGACAGTGACGATGTGGCCGTGATTCTTCTCGAGCATGTCTGGTGGCGCGACGCGGAAGCAGAGCAGCGATGGGTTGAGGTGGCAAGCATGATGCTTGATGGGAACACAAATAGCAAAAGGTAGAAAGACAGACGGATATTGACACACACCGCCATACAGACACATACACAAGCAGACACAGACACAGACACACACAAAACAAACAAACACAAACACACACACACACCATGGGCGCACCTGGGAGAAAGGCCTTTGTGGTCCAGAAGTGGGCGATTGTGTTGACCTCCATGGTCTTGACCATCTTACTGTCGTCCGCCTCCAGGAACGGCTTTCCGGTCACAATGCCAGCATTGTTGACCAGGATGGTCACGGCACCAACCTGCGCACCCAGACACACACACACACACACACACACACACACACACACACACACACACACACACACACACACACACACACGCATGGACAGGGTTGAGGGCGACGTGCAGTGTGAAGGATGGAACGTGGCGGTTGCGCGCTTGGTGTCGCGGGCAGAGCGTAAATCACGTAAACATCTGAGTTGATGCTCCAGACACACACACACACACACACACACACACACACACACACACACACACACACACACACACACACACACACACACACACACACAGACAACCCCCTCCCTAACCACAGCGGCAGCGTCAGCGTACCTCCCGCTTGACTTGCTTGGCGAGGGCGTACACCTTCTCACGATCAGTGATGTCGATCGCATACGCATGCGCGCGGTCTTGCCCGTGCTTTTCACGAATCTCAGCAACCACTGCAGTGGGTGTGCGTTGGGGGTATGATTGTGTGAGCACGGAGGGCACATGCACAGGCGGGCGAAATCGACACCCCACATCGATCGTGGGTCACGCGCAACAACCATACTCACCGGCATCAGCGCCCTTCTTATTGACGTCCCAGATGACGACCGTGGCACCCAGGCTGAAGCGTTGAGTAATTGATTGATTGGGTGAGTGAGTGCATGTGTAATAAGTGTGAGCAAAGGGGTTCGATTCAAGTACAACAAAGTGTAAACTCGCAGTGGCAGATGCACACATGCACACACACACACACACACAGCACACACACACAAACACACACACACACACACACACACACACACACAGCACACACACACACAAACACACACACACACACACACACACACAAACATTCCTCCCACCTCCACGCACACACACGCCCACTCACTCTGCAAACTTGAGGGCCATGCCCTTGCCAATGCCGCTGCCGCCACCGGTGATTAGCACAATCTCCTGCGAGAAGGAGCAGTGGTGGCGATGTAAGCCATAGTGTGAAGTGGTGCAAGCCAACCATGTACCACTGTTGTCACAACAAGCAAGCAAGCAAACAAACAAACAAACAAACAAACAAACAAATAAACAAACAAACAAACAAACAAACAAACAAACAAACAAACGAATAAAGCAAGCGAGCAGTGTGTCTCTATCCTCATTCATTCTCGTCCCTCACCACCATCCACCCACCCTCACTTCCCACCACCCCTCTCACACTCACGTCCTTCACGCCCTTCAGTGGCCACCAGACGTTGGAGACCAGGCGTCCCAGCATGTGCACGGGCGTGGCAAGCACAAGCCCAACGCCAGTGGCAACATCCTTCAGCACGTTCATCTTCAATCGATCAAGGCAAAGCAAAGAAAGAGCAACAAGCGTTGTTGTGTTGTTGTTGTTGTGGCAGTGAATTGTAGATAATTTGTGAACATTTTCTGGCAATTTTCGACACGGCGCCAGTTTGCGAGGAGGACAACAACAGCGAATCACAAGCCAGCAAGCAGCACGATGCCTGGAGCAGCTGTTGTTGTGGTGGTGGTGTCTGTGGCAGCTGTGGCTGCGGTGATGGTGCAGGGGCACCCGATGCTGCACTACTACTCTGGACTGAAGCACCACGAGGATGACCACGTTGTGTCGGTGGAGGAGCCCGTGGCTCAGACGACGGAGGAAGGACCAGCGAGCAACAACCTGCCGCCCATTGTGTTTGTGCCTGGTTTGACCAGCGCCGCGCTGGACGTGGAGCTGAACAACGCGCCATCCCTGTTTGGCTGCCCGCACACCACCGAGCCCGGAGAACCGTGAGCGTCATTGCTACTCTGTTGTGGTGGCTTTGTGTGTGTTCATGTGTGTTTGCCTGTGTTTGCCTGTGTGTGTGCGTGTGTGTGTGCGCGCGCGTGTGTGTCTGCGCGTGCGTGTGTTCATGTGTGTGCGTGCGTGCGCACGCGTCTGTTGCACTTAATCATCCAAGTGATGCTCAACGATACTCAACGACTCCTATGTTGCAAATGTACGCGCGTTTATGGGTCACGTGCAGGCTCCGCATGTGGCCTGCACAGATTAACTCCACCAAGGACTACTTCTGCTTCCTGGAGAACCTCAAGATGTGGTACGACCCGATTTCGAACCAGCTCCACAACCGCAAGGTCAGCAGCGTCGTGTATTTGCTGCCGCTCTTCTGTTGTGACGCACCGTCACTGCTTGTATTCGTGACGCACCGTCACTGCTTGTGCTGTCGTGCTGTTGTTGTGCTGTTGTTGTGCTGTTGTTGTGCGGTTTGTGCGGTTTGTGTCGCTCCACAGCCACCAACCCCTTTTGCACACCCACACTCGTTCACACACTCGTTCACACACGACGCACACACACATACACACACACACACACACACACTCGTTCACACGCGCTGTCCTGCGATGTTCATCATCAGGGCGAGAAGGTATTGGTTGAGGACTGGGGTGGCTTCGAGGGACTGCCGCTGTTCCGCAAGGTGTACACGCCGCTTGTCAAGAAAGGGTATGTCATTGGCAAGAACCTCTTTGGAGCTCCGTTTGACTGGCGCGGTCCTGCCCGCACATTCCCGGACTTTTTCGCCAACATGACAAAGACGGTGGGCTGTTGGTTGCTCTTCTTGCATTGTGGCTGCTTGTGAAGGCGTATTTGCTCGTGATTGCGTGTTTGTGTGCCGTGTTTGTGTTTGTGTGTGTGTGTGTGTGTGTGTGTGTGTGTGTGTGTGTGTGTGTGTGTGTGTGTGTGTGTCGTGTGTTGTTGTTGTGTCACACACACACACACGTCACAACACAGCACACCGATTCTTGTTTTCTCACTTCCACCGTGCACTCTCAACCACGCAACCACCACCACAGATTGAGTCTGCGTATGCGCAGAACAACAACAGGAAAGTGGCCATCATTGCAGCGTCATATGGCCCGCAGTTTGTGCTTGCGTTCCTGCACCGCCAATCGCAGGCGTGGAAGGACAAGTACATCCACTGGTTCATTGCAGAGTCACCCGTCTGGAGCGGCTGTCCTGCCAGCCTCCTATCCTTGGTGTCCGGATATGACGTCAGCAACGGCACGCTCTCGCTCATGTTTTCGCGCCAGGTTGCCATGGAAACGGCGTCCTCCTTCTGGCTCCTCCCGCGCGCTGGCACCACCAACACCACATGGGGCAAGGTGCGTGTGCGTGCGTGCGTGTGCGTGCGTGCGTGTGTGTGTGTGTGCGTGTGTGTGTGTGTGTGTTTGTACGTGCGTATGTGTGTGCGCACATATGTGTGCGTATCTTTGTGCGTGCGCTTGTTTGTACGTGTGTGTGTGCATTTGTGCGTGCATGCTTGTGGTTTGGCACTCGTGCATCCGCGAACGTTGTCTCACCATCATCTCACCATCATCTCACTATCATCTCACTATCACCTCACGATCATCTCACTGTCTCACCAATCACTGTCACCAACAACCCCATTCCTTCCCTTCCCAAATCACGCATCACCACGTAGGATGAGCCCATTGCGTTTACACCGAGCCGCAACTACACGAGCAGCGACTACAAGCAGCTCATGACTGACATTGGATTTGGGTTCCGCACCCCCGCCATGGAGTACACCGTCAACGACACAGACCTGAAGGACTTTGAGCACCCGGGCGTGAACACGTATGTCACGTACGGCTACAACCTCGACACCCCAGGTTGGGCGATTGCAGTGCTGATAGTGGTGCTGTTGATGATGCTGCTATTGTGTGAATGTGTGTGTGTGTGTGTGTGTGTGTGTGTGTGTGTGTGTGTGTTTGTCCTCTGTCATGCGGCTCTCTCCTTCAGACACGCGCCTGCACACATGTTTCCAATCTCCGTGCCTCACACCCTTTGCTCTTGCTTCGTTCCTTCTTCCCTCCACCACCAACAATACCATGACACCTGCCCCGCCCTCTACATCAAGGCACGTTCGTGTGGGACGAGGACTTTGTGCACAACATCACGGGTGCCCCTCCGTATCCGCGTGTATTCAACGCGACAGATACCGGTGATGGCATTGTTCCCGTTCGCTCGTCCATGCGCGCATGGCACGCCTGGCAAGATGACATGAAGCAGGTGCGTGTTCGTGTCGTGACATGGTGGAAGAGGGAGGTAGTGTGTGTGTGTGTGTGTGTGCTTGTATGTGTGTGTGTGTGTGCTTTTGTGGTGGCTTTGTGTGCGTCTGTGTGTGCTTTGTGTAAGTACGCAATGTCGCACAATCACTTCATCACCACCGCCACCACCACTGCCCACTGTCCACTGCCACCACCATCAGGCAAAGAAGACGCTGATGTACAAAGGATACAATAAGCAGCAGCACGCGCTCTGCATTCTCTCGACCGGAAGCGGCGCTTCGTGTTGGCACGAAGTCTTCCAGTGCGTGTGGTAGTGTGTTGTTGTTGTTGTTGTTGTTGTTGTTGTTGTTGTTGTTGTTGTTGTTGTTGTTGTTGTTGTTGTTGTTGGATGTGGAGGCAACGTGCTGAGTGTGATTGTGATGGCTGCTTTTGGCTGACTGTGTGTGCTCCTCGCTCACTAGTGCTTTTCAACACGTGCATGTGTGTGGTTGGTTGGTTTGCTCAGGCTGATTGTGAACGGCGTTGTGCCCCCAGGAGCTCGCAAAGTGTAGCAGCAACAAGCGACGTCTATTGCTGCTGTTCGGTTGACCCAACGCATCCCACATACACACAACACAACACACACACACACACACACACACACACACACACACACACACACACACACACACACACACACACACACACACACACACACACACGTTTCAAAGGCACTGCTCCGCCACTGTTCGCATCTTCCCATCGTTATGGCCCCCTTCACCGCGTACACATAAACACACAATCAGTTGACGAAAGCAATC